TAGGATAATCTTCTTTACGCCAGTAATTAATGTGTTTAAAAATTTTGCACCAATACATGTTCAGTTAAAAATTGATATTTATTTATTTATCAATTTATACATCTTATGCACTGCAGTTATATCTGAGGTGGGCATGTGCTTGTGTGGGCAGATCTGTGCACATATACGTGTGTGCGTGTGAGTGTGTGCCTGTGTGTGTGTCTGTGCGTGTGTCATTGCATGTCCCTGTGTGTGTCTGTGCATGTTCCTGTGTGTGCCTGTGCATGTGCCTGGGTGTGTGCCTGTGCATGTGCCTGGGCATTGCCTATGTGTGTGCCTGTGCGTGAGTGTGTGCACTTGCACGTGCGTGCTAGTACGTTTTTTTTAAAAGATGGGAAATGAAGTGTTGAGGGAATTCCAAATTAATACGGGCCTGAAGCAGAGATGCTGTATAGTTGCTATGCAATTTAAAGTATATTTGAATGGAGTGCTGGAGAATTCTGGAAGGAAGTACTGCACAATAGAGTGCTTGTCCAAAACTGTTACACTCAATTTTGGAGAGGACTAGGTGATTTTGGCAGAAAACAATATGGACACGAACTATTAGCTCAGAAACCTCAATGAAGACAATGACAAATGGAAATTGACAGTTATTAATATCTGGGTGACCGATGACTGATTATCTTGTAGTTGGAAGAGGAGGAGGAGGGACAGTCATGAACAAGGGGGAGGGGGGACAGAAAATAGTAAGTACTCATTATTCCAAAATTTAAGGTAAAGAAGATATCTGGCAAAGGAGGTGGCAAGATGAAATGAAATGAAGAATGGTACGAGGGAGAGCAACAACAAAGAAACTGAACTGCTTTGTATGAAATAGGAAGGTAACTAGGTGGAATAAAATTAGAATTTGTGAATCTGTGAATAGTAGAATGTATTAGTAGCTATAAGGGGCTTGTAGAAATGACCAAAAAGACAAAAATAAGGTTGAGGGCTATAGAGATGGAGATCTGGAAGAGATGCTGTAGACAGTTAGGAGTGGATAGACTTAGGAATAGTGACATCAGAAGAGAGTTGGATATTGGTGTTAGTATTATTAATGCCATTGAATCAAAGGAATGAAGATGGTATGGGCCATTCACAGCGAATTCCCAATAACGGGTTGCCAAAAATACTATGCAATTGGACACCATCTAATAGAAGAAAAAGAAAACAAAAAACATCTGGCTACAAGGAAACTGAGAAATAGTGGCAAATAGAAGTCTCAGAGAAGGTGAATGAAATGATAGAAGATGGCAAGTACACTATAGGAGATGGCTTCCGCTGTAGTAAACGTGTTTTTATTAGAATTTGTGAGTATAATAGACAACTCATATTTTTCCCAATTATGTGATAAAGCCACAGAGATTCAAATATATTCAAATTTGTAGAAAAGTTTTTGATCTCTTAATGATATTCTTTTGTCTTTTTAATTTAATAGATCAGTGTCGGTCTTCTTTTTGTAGAAATCACAAATTTTGGAAGTGGGTTGTGTCTATCTTGATGGTGTTAAGTCTTTTTATAAAGGCATTTTGCTTAAGTAAAGAATATGTGAAGGTAGAGGGTGCCCTGTACTTCATTTTAGATGACCAAGTGGTTTACAATGTCTGGTCTGATTGTATTTCCACTGCTGTTTCTGTGGCACACCAGTAGATGAGACGGTGTTTACTGGGGATGTCCTGGATACAGTTTCTGATGGGCTGAAGGCCACAGGAAAGTAAATATTTTTTCTTTCTTAGAGTCCATTGAAAACATTTCTCGCATGGTATGTTGTGAAGAGAGAGGTGTTGACTATTGTCATCTTCTTGATTAAATCTTTTGTCTGGTTTCCCTTGATTCATTGAGCAAATACTGAGATGGTCCCTTGTTTTGCTTGACATATACGTAGTTTGATTAAGCAAATGTTTTGTTCTTTCCTTGATCTAGTTGTGGTAGGAATAGTATTGGGGGTGTGGGTTGCTATTTTATTAGCAATATTATGAAACCAGATCTGTAGTTTGTTAACTGATGCAACCAAGTTTTTTATTATTTGGGAGCAAAAATGAGTAGTTTTCAATTTTTTTAACCACATTTTGTTGGTACTTTTATTCATTACTTAACTGTGCAGTGAAAGAGTGGGGTAGGAATTCTGGTGTTCAAGAAAACAGTGCAGAGTTGTCTCTCTCATACATCACATACAATTTTTTCTTTTTCTTTTGGTGAGAAATAAATTAAATAAACTAAATCAATAACCAACGTTAGGTGGTATTTCAAATACAGTATTAAATATATAAAATCAGTGTTGGTATCCAAATTGCTTGGGCAGGTTCCAGTAGGTTGCTGAGATTAAGCATGTTGTTGGCTGTGGTTCTTGGTTGGATGACCATGTGGGAACCCCAGGGACCAGTGGCCCTGAGCTTCTGACTTTATGGGTAAGGAAGCACAATGAACGAAATGAAAACTGAGATCATCTGCCTTTTGGCTGATTAATCATAATCCTATTAAAAAACAACTGATTATAAGATTGAATTTCAATTATGTTTCTTTATTTGAAATTAAAAATTATGTAATGTAAATATGAGAAACAGAACCTTAAATCTACAAGTTACTTAAATTTAATTATTATTGCATTCACAACTTGTAAGATAAAAATTATGATGATGACTGTGCATGTTTGAACTGTGCATTTCGTGACAAATAGCCATAATGCATACCAATATTTTTAGAAAGAGCTTGTAGCTTGGTGTATGAGATGGCTTGTGTTTAGATTAAAGGAGTAGAGTATATTTAGCAATATAGAGCTAAATATTTTGAATTATGGTATATTTAATTTTCCACTGTAAGTAAGTAGTTTCATTTTCCACTGTAGTTGTGTTTATTGCACAGAGCGAATTAAATAAACATTGAATAAGGTATGTAAATACACACAAATTGATTCTACACAGCTTGGTTGTGATGTGTTGTGTCTGAAATGCATTTTTACAAAAATTTGTTTATTCTCCCCCCTGCCTTTTATGGTTGTGTGCATAATTTATGTTCAAATTTTTTAAATGTTTAAACATTTCTTTTTAAATATCAATAGTTAATTTGTTGTTTTTAACTATTTTGTAATGATGTGCATTAAAATGATTTTTCTTTAATTTTAACACTTTCGATCCTAAGGATGCATCTGATATATCATAATGAAAGTCAGACAGATAGACACCTAGATTATGCTTTTTAATAGCATTAAGATGGTCACAGGACAAATGCCAAGGTGCGCTTCAATTTTGTTCAAGTAATTGCAATTTTTCCAAGAAGTGCGGTTATTGTCAATTATGTTCAGAATGTCTTTCTTCATTAGTAGTTTTCGTGCGGTTAGCGACATACAGATGTTTAGAATACTTAATGTCAAATTCACAGAGGCTCTCAACATTAGAAGTTCAAGAGTTTTAAAAAAATGGAGCGAAACTGGATTCTTCTGATGAGGACAACGATTTTATTCCTGGAATGCTTTCTAGTTTGAGCAATGAAAATTAAATCAAAGAGAGTAATAATGATGTAAATAATACTATTGTTGTGTCTTCTCAAATTCAAGAGTTTTCATTTTCTTTAGAATGCTGTGAAATTAATAAACAATCTGAATTACTAGTGTTTGAGAAAACAGTGAAATAAAATTTTCTGTAAATAAAGACTCACCTCAACTAGACGATTTTTCATCATTTAGTATATTTCAAAAATAAAGGCAGAAATAAATAGATATGCAAATGAATCTGTATATGAACTTCAACAAAATATAATTATAGTGCACCATAGTATTGTTGTCACATGAAGCAAAAATGAGTAGTTTTCAAATGTTTTTAACCACATTTTGTTGATACTTTTATTCATTATTCAACTGTGCAGTAAACAAATAGGGTAGGAATTCTGGTGTTCATTTCTCCCATCACTTACACTTTTTACTGTTAGTTTTGTTAGAAATAAATTAAATAAATCAAATAATTAGCCAAAGTTAGTTAGTATTTCAAATATAGTATTAGTAGGTTGCTGAGGTTAAGCATGTTGTTGTCTGTGGTTCTTGGATAACCACGTGGGAATCTCGCGTATCAGTGCTGACAGAGATCACTGTGTTTCCCACTATATTTTTTAACATTGCTACTTTCCACAAAAATTTAAAATGGACAACACACGTTTCTTTGAATTTTATTCTCACTACCATCTCACTTAATCAATGATCATCAATTCTACAGATGTAAAGAGAAAAGACAACATTACAAGATTTTATCAATTTCAAACTGATGTTTATGATGGTTTTTGTTTTATAACGATGTGAATAATAGCTATATTGCCTAAGACAAAGGAGTTAACCACTTGGCGAATCCCTCAGGATCGAATGTGTTAATGATTTTTCTTTATATCAATAGTAGTGTTTGAACAGTAATTTTTTATAAATCAAGATTGTAAAACGACATATCAGTTTATACTTTCCACTTGACTTTTTGCACTCCAATGTAATCATTAAGCTTCTATGAAGAGTTTTTAATTACTTTATAATGGCACTCTTCTTTTCGTTAAGAATCTAGATGTTTTTTCTCTTAGTTATTGTATCAGTATTAAAACTACAATGAAAATGCGGCTACAGTTGCAGATACAGAGAAATGTCTTTGTTCTCTGCTAATTTTTGTAGTCCTTGTTTTCTTCTGCCTGAGAGTAAGATACATTTAATACCTTCCTTCCATGAAGCAGCTATTCATTTACACTTCTCTTTGTGTAACAAGTAATTATACTATCAGTTTATTATACAACGACACAAACATTTTGAATGGAGCTTAATTTTTCACTGTATTGATCTGGATATTGCATTACAGAGATCTTCAATAATTTAGATGATTTTTTGACATATGGATTCAAATAGTGCAGAAAATTTTTTGATTCTGTTTGAAGGGGAAGCTTACTTCAGCATGGAAGAAGCATTCTCCAATAATTTTTGGATTTACTGGTGTTTGATCAAATGTTGTCTTTTTTAGGGGATAGAATTCGTTATAACTTACCAGTTGAAGAGATGATTTTACATGCTGAATTCACATACTACTATTATCCAGGTGACATCGGTTTCCCATGTACGTTTACTTTTGATTTTTAAACTTTCGTATAACTCTCCATGTCATTTTTCTAGAATTTTTCTTTTTATTTCAGTGCCTCCGCCTAAATTTTATGTTCAAATTAATCCTGTACAAGTGAGATTTGATGTGTGCAGTTGTTTATGGTTGAATGCATTTCTTCTTAATTTACATCATTCCCTGATGGCAACCAAGCCTCAACAACCAGCTGCAATGCCATATATAGATGTGAAAATAGAAGCTATTATGCCCCGGGTAAGTTTCCCTCTATAATATATTCATTGCTTGAGGTAGTTAATAATTATGTTACTATGTTAATTCTGAGTATTCTCTGCTCATTAATACTGAAAATGGATTCTTTTCTTCAATTTTAGATAATATTTGACTGCAGTGTTGATCATCCAAATCAGAAAGATCGGCCGAAGTCTCTTCATGTGGAAGTGTCCCGAGCTTCTGTCACAAATGTGCGAACTTTGGAACACAGTTCTCGCGCTGATCTTGCTAAGTGTGTTGATACATTCCAGTTGGGATCACTTTTTTATGGGGCTGATTTTCCTGCAGTTTTTTCTGATTACAATGTAGTGACAGAAAAATTCTTTCAACATTTAAGAGGTATGATAGTGTTTTGAAAGTTTCTATATAAAGGAATTCTTAATAATTTCCTTAGAGATTATTAAATAAAGGTAACTGAAAGCTTTCGAAACATTTCTAATTAATAAAAATCTATTAAGGAACTATCCAAACTTCGGAAACTATTTCCATGTCTTGCGTGAGAGAGATTCTAGATTCCTTCTACAGAGAACCTTGTCTTATTGTCTGAGTCTTTCTACTGATTCTAGGAAACTAATTCTTGAAATTCTGTCATTATAATTTTTAAATTGAGAAGTCAATAAAATAACATTAAAACTGACAATATGTACATTTTTATTTTCGTAATTCACTTTTGAGCTTGTTGTTCGCTACTCTATTAGTTTTTGAAAAATAAAGATGTAAAACTTGGTGTGAAACCTAAATAACATTGTCCATTGTCTGAGTACTCATTAGAATGTTTGTGACCAAGAATCTGACTTATATTTTATATTTAATTTTCAGGAACTGATAACATTAGATCTCCCCCCCAAGTGGTTGCTTCTTCCATCCCAGAGATGGAACAGAAGCTCTCAAGGGAGCTGCTGTGGACCGAATCCAAAGACATGTGGTGCATTTGTCTTGAGCCAGTGTGGGCGGAGTTTTATGGAACACCTGCTGTGGGAGGGAACAAACCGGTCTCGTTCCTTGATGCCGTTCCCCTGACACTATGGGTTCACCTGAAGTTCTCTGAACCTGTAGAAAAGGATGACAAAGTCCAGCATGAACTTTTGAAAAGAACATCACCCCAAAGTGGGAGGTTACTGCCTCAAAGCTTGGGGCATGTCAATGAAAAAGAAGATCCATGCTCAAGAGTGGCAGATATTCATGTTTTGGCCTACGTTTCTAATTTAGTGAGCGTGCAGATTAATCATTATCAATATCTTTTCTTGTTACGTTTATCTGAAGAAGCTAATGAACTTACTACTATATTAGCCATTGACACAAAACGAATAATCAATGCTCCAAATCATAATCCTTCACTTGTTGTTGGAGCTATGGTGCCTCAGGTATTTGTAAATGTATTTCTTAAACTAATAGAGTTCTTTTCATTGCTACTTTTGGTTCTTTGAATTATCTTGAATGGATGTTTTGAGTTGTAAATCTTTCTTTACAAATTGGCAAAAAGTAAAGATATCAATGTTTGTTGTAGGTGGAAGTGACATTTGTGATGCCATCCCAGTCACCTGGGAAAGAATGTTCAGGTGGTGATTTAGAATCAGTTTTCCCAGACTCTGCAAGTTTGCAGGAGGATAATGCTACAGCAAGCGTGCCAAGCATACCTTATGCCACCAAACATATTGAATTGCAAACACCTGAAGAGCCAATTCGATACCAAATGGGAGGTGAAATCGAGTTGCCTAGAGGTCAAGGAATCGGTGAGAACGCTCTAGCATCAGCAAACATTTTCCCCAACAATTTCAACACCGGGCTAACCTCAATGAAAAAAGGCTTCAGCAGCATTATGAACACCCTGGATTCTGCCCTTAAGTCCAGCCCTGATGATGCTAGCGATACCACTTCCCTGCGTAGTGGAGATGATTCATCTGATAGTGAAAAGTATGTGTTCCTTGATCACTCGAGTGACATAGGGGATAAACTCCTTGGAGGAGTGGATTCCATGTTCAGTGTGGCTGGCAATGTGGTTGAGCCCTTGCAACCCCTGGAAGTGGCGTGTGAGGTTGTGGAAGAAGAGGCCACCACCACCTCTCCGAGTGAACGCTCTATGGACAGCAGCAGCAAACGACGGGACTTGGTGCGGCTTGTTTTGGTTCTTTATTATAGTTATGGAAAGTTTGTCACATTATCTTTGCACAAAAAAAGTGGTACATCGCAATTGCCATTTTTGAATGACATGAAAAAAATAGATTTTTTTAGTAGTCAATTTTTACAAATAAAAATTTCATGAAGCTTGTTTATCAGATAGGGGGAAGTGGAGTAAAATACAAGTTAATGGCTCAACTGAGGATAGAACAACTTTTTTGCAAAACTAACAATTTTAAAGATGTCACTTTTCTTGTGCACCAACAATATGTTAAACAATTTGTTTTTATACAATTGATGAAAGATACCATGATCTTCATATTTTCAATTTCATGATTTCCGTTTACTGATTTTGTTTACTTGAATATGTATTGCAACATCTAAAAGCTGGTAATGTCTGTTGAATAGTTTAGTACATTTTAATTTGAAACTCAATGGTAATACAGTTTTTGACTTTAGTTTATTGTAGGTCTGCCTTATTCAATTTACCAAATTCATGATTACTACAAAAATAAATAATCTCTAATGTGATGTTACAAATTCAAGGTTTATATCAGCAATAAAAAAGTTATTATCATAATCATTTTGTCATTTATAGATTTTATAGACCCGTTATTTGTGATTATTGGGCTGTAAAATAAAACAACAGCAAAAAAACACACACGCACACGCACGCACACACACATACAACTGTCTTTGACAGCTGTAGTAATGGTGTTTTGAGAAGTCTTTTCACCTCAGTGGACTAAGTTTCACGAGCATTTTCTGACATGAAATAATTGAAGTTGACAGCATATTGTTGTGTTTACTTTTGTTATTAGATTTGTATGTTTTATTTATAATTGTTCATGTCTGTTGGGCAGGTGTCTATGTCTACTTTCAAGTTGGGCCAGGTTGAATTTGTTCAGCAGTCAGAAGGATTCACCTCGGTTATTAAGGTCCAAGTTTCTCGTGTGGCTGCAGAGGAATGTAGCTCCATCCCTTGGGACGAGTTGCAGGTAAGAATGTTATGTTGAGGTATACGTTTGCTTGATTTTGGCTTTTGAAGATATTGTCCCCTCCATAAGTAATGAATTGAGTGGGCTACTAAAATACACAACACACACATGTGAATTTAAAGAAAAAAAGCATACCCATTTAAATTTTACCCTAATGTTACAAAGGCATTATTTACTTGCTGGGAAATTTTAATGCAAAAATATGTTGTTTTTTTTTCTTCTTCTCTCAATTGAAGTGTACATCATATTTGAAATTGACATTAGTGTTGGTTAGTATTAGGAAAAGGAATCAAAAGAAAACAACTGTATTTGCTCCTACTAAAAAATAATAAATTTTTTGACAGAAAATAATGTGTGTACAGTAAAATTTGTCTAAACTGGAACCTGTACAACCCAGAAATCTGCCTTAACTGGAAAATTTCTCTAGCCCCTGAAGTTAAATGGCATTTTGTTCAGCATAAAACATAACATCTCCAACACACAAACAGAACGATTTTTCACGTCCTGTAGGGAAAAAAACAAACCATTATAAGACGGAATTTAATGCAATTGGCAGAGATACGTGAGGTATTCTTATTGAAATGAATGCATGTACACGCTTGTTTTAAATTCTCTATCCCTGTGACACGATTGTTCGTGGCAGCTGGACATTGAAGGGAAGAGGCATTAGCTGTCAACGCAGAATTCAACCTTTGGGTCGTTAGTCTCTCAAGTCATAAGTCTTATGGGAATTCTCTGTATTCAGACTCTCTGAGCATCGAAAGGTGTTTGGGCGTGGCTTCAATTAATGCGTCTCTCTGCCTCGTGTTGAAAACCCTTGAAGCATTGCTCTAGACAATGCGATCGTATCGAAAAGTCGAAGGTATAGTACTCGGGGCTGTGACACATTGCGCGTTGAAAGAGTCAGCTAGCTGTCTGAATACAGCCAGTAAGGTGTGTATTTTTCCACTCAGAAGCTGTCAATGAAGAGTGTTTAATATTCATTTATTGGCCATTACTTTCATAAATACATTATGTTAATGTATTTTGATAATTATAATAAAGTCATATAATTTACCACTTTGAGGGCAGAAAAGTCAATATCACAGTTGTCATAAAATGGACCACCTTGCATAAAACGGAAACCACCCTAAACCGTAATTTGTCTGTGTCCCAATCAATTCTGGCTTAGACAGATTTTATTGTATTTGTTCTTGTACTCATCACTGTTTTCTTTCATTTCTCCAAGGTGTGTTGATCTATTAATTTCAACACATTCTTTCTGAATGATTTTGCATTTAATGAATGTTTAAAATTGTTCATTGACTTTTTCTTCTAATTTTTCATAAATAACACTAAGTTCTGTATTACGTTTGAATTCTTCTCATCTTTAAGAAGTACCATTAAATCGCATTTATTTGACACAATAAATTGCATTGAAGTAGAGATTTTTATTTACTCAGATTTTTTAACTTTATAAGAAACTAAAATAAAATTTGAGTAAGAAGGATAGATATTTTGTGTATTAAATTAATATTAAGTTTACAAAGAACATACATTTTAGGGACGTTTTGATAAGATACTACAATACAGATCAGATGCAAATTACAAATTACAGTTTGTGCCTGAAAACAATTTACTTTCTTTTGTCATCTAGAACTGTTTTAATTCCAATGACACTTGTAACAATAATCTGCACGTTTGCAAATTGCAAAGATTTTAAAAAGTTATCAGGTTTATTTTTTTAATCAGACATGCAATATTACTTCAAAATTTTGAATTAATTCTTTATTAAAGTAAATTTTTCTCAACGGTTATTTACATTTTAGAGGTTTTCAAAATGTTGAACTTAAAGTTTGCAAAGTTGACTGTAATGAACGCTATGAGGTTTATTTGTTACTCTAAAAGATTCAAACTCCTCTGAATTATTTACAGGTTTTTGAGGAGTTCTAGAAAAATTGATTTTGTTTTACTAGTTAACTTTTATTCCTTTACTTCTTTTTTTTGCAAATGTACAATTTTCCAAAGTGTTTGAATCAAGTACCTAATTCAGTATTGGGTAATTTGTTGATTTTTTTTTTTTTTTTCAATTTCTCCTGAATAGAAATTAATGAAAGACAGTGAATCTGTATATTCTGTAATGTCCTGAATGGTGGGTTGAATCTATTTAATTATTGAAATTTGATGAGTTATTGAGAAATTTTCAATGAAAATTTCTACACAGTAAAGATTTACCAAAATGCCTTTTCTAATGGAGGGTGTGTTTTGTGTGGATGCACATGTATGTGTATATGTGCGTGTAAGAGAAAGAGAGAGTGAGTATATGCTTGTGACATGTGATGTGGAAACAGTCATTTTCATTGTTCAGTAAAATGTTTTTTTATGTGAGATTATTAATCTGAATGCATAAAAAAATTTGATAAATTAGTCATTGATGTAATGAAATTGCGTGCAGTAATTACATGCAAACATAATTACAAAATGAATAATGAATCCCCATTTAGGAGGAGCCTTTGATTTTTATGAACATAATGATGATTTACATAGCATCGTAGGCTTTCAAGGCCGGGGTCAATATAAAAAAAATGTTGCCCTTCAAAGCTAACTAGACCATGACGTACTAGCCCAGAAAATTTGTGTAACAGTAAATTTCTTTGTTAGGTGGTAAAATTTCAAAAACTGTCTTGTTGAAAACTTTAGGATTACATTGTACCATTACATTATTTTATGTATGTGGTATGATTCATAAATAATTATCTTTTGATAAAATCATTACGTGTATGTTATGTATATTTTGTTTTATCCAGAATTTTTATATTTTTATTTAATGTCATCTAATGTTACAAAGGTCTTTTTAGTACTCCTTGTGCATATGTTTCGTATAATACTAGATTCCTTGATGATCCCAGTGTGTTGTAACAGTTGTTTTATTTTCATCTTGTGAATATTGCCTTTGTAATAAATGCTTCTTGTACCATGATTTAAGGGATTTGTTTGACATTCCATTGGCCCCGTTTTAATTTTCGGGTTGCTATGGATCAAATTCATCTTTTTATCAAATGTCTTTATATACATACTATTTCTCTGTACATTTTTTGCATGCCTTCCTGCCTTCGGTCTCTTATGAATGTTTTGTGTGACACATTGGCAGGCCAAAGACAAGGTATCAGCATTTTTCATTATCAATTAGCACGGTGGCATGTCAAGCTTGCATGCTTCATGAAGTGTTTGTAGAATTCAGGTTGGAATATTAGACAAATTTGTGAAAATACTTTTTTTAATGCAAAACTTCAGTCTGAATGTACTGAATGAATAAATTCAAATTTATTGTTTTCTGTGTCCTCTCTCGTACTCGAATATTCCAAGCTGTTTAATTTATTGTGTTTCCTTATCTCAATGCATGCTTGTAGCTCCTGATTATTTGCATCTGAATATTTTTCTGCAGTCTTAAGTTGCTGCGTAGTGCAAGGTAAATGTGAAAATGGATGTTGTCTGTCTGATTTATATATTGTGCTTTTATCTTTGTAATTAGTACGTTATGAATGTTTTAAGAATTTACAAACCAACAGGCTACAAATAGGCATAACTTGGTTATAAAGAGATCACACTGACTGTTGGTCAGAACTGCATGGTGAGTCTATTCAATTTAAATGCTTTAAAAATAGTTGTGGTCATGTCGAATCAGAATTAAGTTACCAAAATACTCAATTCGTTAGACATCAATTCAGAACTAATTTTCAATGTCATCCATGAAAGTAAACAAGCAAGTTAAAATTACTCCTTTTATAGTAAGTACATGGGTGTGTTGAACCTATTATGGTTAGAATTAAAATGGATACATTTTTTAACAGTATCTTTCACATGCATTTTTAAGAAAGTATACATAAGAAAGAATGTACAACCTTTTGGATGATATTTTGTAATTGTTCTGTTTAAAGTAATTTACTTGAATAGTTGATAATTTTTGTTTATTGTGAACAGGTGTTTGTAATTTATATTTTATCGATAGATTGAGTTTCAACTCTTTTTGGATTGTCTGAATTATTTATGGAATGCACTAATTATTTGTCAGATATTTCATTAGTGCTATACTTCTACATATTATTTTGCTATTATAAGTTTTTCTTGTCATTTTTGGTTTCTGAAAGTGCTTGGATTTGGTTCTGACACACTTTGTTAGTGATGTTCTGTTTTTTGGAGGTTTGTTTTTAGCAGTGTTTAATTGGGATTAAATAAGGTAGAATGGTGTTTTTTGAATTAAAATGTGGAAAACCAAACATATTTGTTTTGACTCAAAAATAAAGCTGGGATAAAAATGATGCAAACAGGGCTTCAGTGTTAGTTTGGGAACAGCATGCTTAAACTTGTGTATCATGTAATATTCAACAGTCAAATTGCATCTAAGTCAGGCTACCTTATATTTTCTCACATTAAACAATGATTGAAGTATTTTATTCAACTCTTAAAGTGTAGAAGTACTTGGAGCAGTTCTCTGTTTCCGAAGTTTGAAAGTTCGTTGCATGATGTATAAAACGAGTGCTAGAAATCTTAAGGAAAGATTGATCTGTTTGTTCATCTTTCTGCTCGCATGTTGCAATTGGAGTGGCTGATTAAATGAAATTTGATGTTTGGGCATTTCTCATTTTTTGTTTTGGCATTTTAAAATGCATAATTGAAGTTGAAAAAGCACTAAAACGCTGCAGAGGAAGCAAAGTATTTCTGCAAACCCATGTAAAATATCCAGTAAATGGAAAAAACAAGAAGGGAGAGGTAATTAACGACTTAGTTTAATTTAAGGTGTTTCATTTCTGCCTGGCTTTCCTTGAGTAGCAAATTGTATTCATGGAGTTGAGAGGCATCTTTTACATATTACTATATATCATCCCCTTCACTGATCAACAAATTCTGCACAGTTTTCTCAATAATGAGTGCATGTTTTTCCTTTCACATATATATATATCTAGGATTTCTAGATCACATTTAAGTAAATTCTGGCTTTCTCTTAAGCCCTCCCAGCACTTGTACTTTACCTGTGTCTTCGTCATCAGTTTTTCTGTTCTTGTCTCCAATGTCTTGGAATTTCTCTGCCACCAACCTACATCACATCAATCCTCACTCATCACCTTTATCTCGTAAGTTCAATTCCCTTTCCTGACTTACCATTGTCACCACTAACTGACTGTTCTGGACTTTCACCGGTGACAATTTTTTCACTTGTCTTCCAACACACACAACCTTTGTAACAGCTACATCACATAAAGATACTTCCATAATAAGGATATTTGCCACTGCACAACACATATTACTAATCATATAATACTATACATATAAGTAATTACTAATAATACCTACATATCACTGCACTTATTTTTATAGTGCAGTACACTACCACACATGTCGAGAGCTTAGAGCTTGTTCTGCCTTGAACTCTGAAAACTCTGCTAACTGATGTGTAGGTTGGTACAGAATCTTTTACTCCATGAGGGGAGAAACACCGCTACCTTCTGGCTATAACATGCACTACATTCGTAGGACTAATGACCAATCATAGTTCAGGCACTCAGGAACACTAAATATTCACTCACTCACATCGCTCCACCCACATGCCTCATCCTTCCACATCTCGCACACCACCACACCACACTGCCTGACACTACAACCCAAACATGCCTCATACCACCACTCAACAAATGCCCCACTCTTTTGTACTTCACATTCTACACACCACTACTCTCTCTCACATTCTCTTTGCATATCCCTCACACTACACACCACATATGCTGTACGTACTACACATTACACAGAAGTGTTTTACTTACACTGTCACATCACTCAAGGCACACATTTCCTCCAAAACTCTCATATTTGTATCAATGACTCAACTCCTTTGTCACCCTTTTGTCTAATTACTCATCAACTGTTATCAACTTACCTCTGCCATCAAGATCACCTCCACTTCTTTTAATTTATTTCGTTTGACTTTCATTTTATTGCATCTCTTTTTCTTACTGTTAGAGCATATTTAATAAACATGATTTAAAATTATCTGACAGTCAAACCTTTACGACTGAACAGGTAGGAGTGAAAGAATTTGACATTAACTGAGATTTAAAAAAATGAATTTAAGATGTTTTTGCATGCAAAACACTCATAATTGTATAATTTTTAATTTAAAAATAATAATTTTTGTATAGTTTTGTACTAAGTATTCCATTTTTAATAATTTTCACTAAAGTGACGAAAGTGCAATCATAAATCCTCAAGTGAACAGCTTAATAATTCTTGCTGTATGCATAGTTTTATCAAATTTTGATGAATGTACCTGCAGATAGAGATAAAAGTTTCAACTATAAATCGCCTTTCATTGATTTAATTGATTTTTTTTTTTTTTTTTAGAGAGATTTCAAACTTCTTAGTCTTCTACACCTTCACAAAATCTTTTTCAATCCCTCTCATTATCTACATGCATAACATCTTCTCTTCTTTTCTCTACCTCCTTCTTAATTTAATTCCTTTCCTTGCTAATTACTATTTGACATCCATCACTGGATTTTCACAGGCTTTTTGCTTGCAGGTCTAGTATTTGTTTCTAATACTTTATTCATATTTCCATGCAGCTTGACATTTGTTCCTCATTATTTGCACCATCTAGAGTGAGGCAAGTAAATTAATGAAAAAATATTATCTCCAGTTCTCCTTTTGTTTTTTGCGTACTTTTCCTTAAGATACAGTGTAAATCATATCTTAATATGTGTGAGGCCATTTTGTTTCTCTGAATTATTTGAAGGGTGGGTACCCTGTAGCATACATGGAACTGCAAGAGAATAGAAATGATGTGTTTAAAATGACTCAAAACAATTTTATGGTGTAGTAATAGATACAATTATTGTATCTATTTCTGTATGATGTAGTAATAGATACAAATGTTGACTCCCATTATTAAATACATTCTTTTTAACTAGATACAAGAAAGTTTCTAAAGTATCTCTAGGAGAAATTTGGATTTATGCATATAATTATTTTAGATTTTAATAACTCCATATATTTTTAAGCCTTTCATTTGCTCTTGAGGTAGTTCATGCTGGTTTTGAATCAAGTGATTTTTAGGAGTTCATACATTGATTATGTATGTTTGTAATAAAAAAATGCGAAACAAAAAGCATATATCAGTGTATGCTGATACTATATTTGTGGCTTTTCTTTGAGATTCAACAACAACAGAATGACAGAACTCCATCACAGTGTTTCTAGAAGATAAAAGAAATTATTAAAAGATACATTCAGAATTTGTTTTTATAGTTCCCTGAACACTATGCAAAGGTATACTGTTCAAGCTCATCTTTTATACAAGTATATTTAAAGTACAAAGTACATCAAATCCAAAAATTAATTAAATATTGTATTTTGCTATTTCATTTCACATAAGTTCATTACATTGATTGGATGATGTAATGCTTACTGCCTAAGTTCTTCAAGTCTCGAAACTGTTGGCAACAATGTTTGACTCCATTAAATTTGGACTGCATACAATTAATAATAAACACACATTTCAGTTGAAAGAGGTTTTATTACTATTCTATTTCTTCACATGTATTTCTAGTCTTTTCACTAACATTTATGAAATCATTCTTTTTTACACTTCTGCTACAATTTCTACTGTTATCGTGATTGCTTATTGTGACCCTTCATGAAACCCCTATTTTCAAAATAAAAGTTGATTTTTAAGATATGTATATTTAATCGTACTCATGATTTTGAAAGATTGTATTAATAACAATTTCTAGAAAGAGGAAAGAGAATCATGTAGAATCTTCTAAACGCTTGTAAGTATTTTTGCATATCTTTTTTTGAAATAATTTGTTCTGGTATATAAATATGCATGTTGTTTTCTTACAAAAAGTGTTATACTTCCAAGTGTTGAAGTTTTTCTGGCAAATTTAACTATTGGAGCTGGGTCTTTTCTAGAGAAAAACCTTAAAAACATCAATTTTCACAAACAAGCACATGTTATCAGTAAATTTCTAAAATGCCACTCACAATGTAGTTTTTGAATGTGATTTTATTAAATCAATATTCATTACATGTAATCTTTACCTTTCATACACAGAATAAGTTTGATTGCCGGTCCAGAGCTTGGAATGAAATTCCTGTTGATGGTGGGTGTAGGCCACAAGTAACGGCAAGACTGACTCACACAGTGGTGCCAGGAGAGTTACTGAACCGCATGTCTCTTAAAAACTGGATATCTGATAAACTTGAGGCACGGGTGCAGGATATGGATTTGGAATTAAATATGAGTTCGGTTGTGGGTTTAGCAGACCTATTTGAAGATGAAATAATTCCGGATCCTTTGCCTATGCAGGTAAGTGAAGAGTAATTTTTAATGTACTGTATTATAAAATTCTGAATGATTTTCCAAGTATTTTAATAGTTTTAATTTTTTTCCTTAATTCTAACTGTAGTAATAATAATTTATAATATGATATATTTGGGTCGTAAATTCCTATGATATGAATTATGAAAGAAAAGTGTTAACGGTGTTAACCTGATTTTTGTGTAGTTAATAAGATTAGAGACAGGAGTAAGTAAGAGTAAGGAGTAAGACAGTAGATTGACAGGATTAAGACTTTAAGGATAAGTTTCATGCAGTTGTTCTGTTTTGTCTATAATGATGCTTTTTTGTTGGTTTCAGATTGCCCTGGATAATATGAAATTGCATTTGAATGAAGACAGACCTCCAAGCAACATCACCTCTCCTGGTCCCATACCTGTGGATTTAGCCCTCTCCAAGCTCTGCATCCATCGTGGGAAGGATGGTGTCTTTTACTTTGAACCACAAACTGCAACTGCAATGGAATCAGGTTTGTGGTTGAAATGATTAATTGAACAGAATTTGCCTTTCAAGTTGAGATATTTACAAACACAAATTTTCCTTCTAATCATAATAAAGAGCTGTGTGGAATCTTTGTGGCTTGTGTTTTAACATTGCATGGTTTGATGATCTGTGCCCTATAAACTGTCTGGTTTCACCTGAAGACTTTTACCAGTTTTTAGGTGGGTTAAAGAGCTGTCCTGTCAATGTTCAATCATTCTCCCTTTGGGAATATGGGATTTTCTGTTTAGGTTAATTCCATCAGAGGATTTGACTTCTCAGTGACTTGGGATGTTCCTCTTTCCTTTTGAATTTTCTGAGTTGCCTTTTGATGATTTTTTTCCTAAACAGCTCCTGTTGTAAGGATATATATATATATATTATAAATTCCAAAAATTACCATTATTTGATTTTCTTGCTGACTTAAGTGACAACACGATTGCTAAACAACACATGCATTTCAATATAATCGAAAGAGGTGGAAAATGTTCATAGAACTTCACACTATGTGAGGTAGAGATGGTCATTAGTCAAGAGAACTACAGATGTGGTCCTGTTACTCTACTTATTTTCAGTAGGTATAGACTGAACATAATAGTCCAGTCCAGCCAAAAACTGTCTTTAAATAATAATTTACAAGAAGAAAAGGTTCTTTGTGAGATGCCAACTATGCATTTGTCCATTCTTTTATTATTAAGCTTTTTTTTATACCGACAGTTTTGCAGATTGTCCCTTAGGCTGTTTATTGCACCAGATGTCACGCAAAGATTTACAAACAGGTTATAAATCCTCCTGCAATAACGTGAAGTTTAATATTGAGTCAACAGATTTTTGTTTTATAAAACATTGAGGTGTGCTGAGGTTAGAGTGACTAATCTGTAAGAATTTCAAAAGTGCTTTTCTCTGGGAAAGAGTAGTCCACATGACTTCTAGGGATTAAATACTATTGTTTTTGTGAAATCGTATATGAACATTCTTCTCCTAATTGAGAATTTTAAGATAATTGAGCTGTCAAGATGATATGATTAAGTGGCACTGATTACCACTGTTAATTCAAGTATTTTAACGTATCAGCACTGGATGCCATTTATGTTCATCATGACCTTTCATTTTATTCTGATTGCACAAGTAAAACATCAAGGAACCATGGGGAGGTGAGGGGGGTGCTATAGTAGCAGTGCCCCATCACATCTTCACAGCCACTTTCCCTTCCTCTGCTGTGGAAACCCTACCACACCCAACACCGAAGCTACCTGTGTTAAAGCATTTATTTCCAGTACACATTTTCAATGAGATGTAGTATTTTAATATTTGCACAAATTTGAGGTTGGAATTTTAAGAGGTTTTGTGAGTAAAGTTAATTTTAATAATTTAAAATTATGTACTCTTTCAGCTGTGAGTCCTTTTGAATCAAATGGTAGTGTTGAACGAGTAGAAGCTTTAGAAGAAATTAATCGACAACTTCTGATAGAAAATAGAGAATTAAAACGTCGATTAGCAGCTTTAGAAAGAGTTTCAGAGGAGAACCACTTGCTTCGACAGTCATCAGAGGAGAGTCAGGTAAATGTTAGAAAATTAAGATGATCTTGTTTTGTTCACTATATTAACGTTTGTAGATGCTAGTTGTATTTCTCTCTCTTTTATAAACATTGAATATTACTTAGTATTTCTTGTAAAATATTTTTGCTAGCAATTGAAAGTTTTGTCGTGGGTTAAAAAATCCAAGTTAATATTAGTTTTTTCACTGTATTTGAAAAATTATAATATGCAGTGGGGTTCTTCTGAACTTTATTAAGCATATCTATTTTTTTTTGGTTCTGTTTGTAACATCCACAAGTTCAGTCTTTAAGAATTTTTCTATGTACCTTATGTTGGTGGTTTTTCCATGACCAGAGAATTGTTTATGAGAACAGAACTGATTGTATCATGTCTGTTGGATTTCTCTGGTGTCCTTGGAAAATATCTTGGAAGTTTTAGAAATGTTGCACTGGTTTTCTGCCCACAGTGAGCAATTTCATTATTGAGTTAGTAATTTTAACTTCCAGTAATTTTGTAGGATTATATTTCTAGAAACTAAATTAAGTAAATCAAATAATTTTTCAGTATTCTTATAACAAAATTGTTTGTCTAAAGTATTAAAAATAATTTAACAATCCTTGCAAGCATTCAAAGCATTATTTCTGTGTTGTGCTTACATTTCTTTCTTATGTTGGAGAAGCTTCCCTTAATACCATTTTTACACAGAACTATCAGAAATTGTTTCATAGGAGTTCCACTGCTTTACATGGAAGCATTTTTATCCATAACCTTGTTTTAAATGCCTTCAGGTATTAAGATCATGTCTGGCTGTAGCCCAAGATGATGTTGCACATTTACTTGAGGAAAAAAGATCATTGCTTGATCGCTTGAAAGGCTTGCAGGACCAGTTGGACCAGTCGCACCGCAGCAAGAGATAGCAGATGTGCTTCAGATGCTGCTCAGTGAAGCGAAACTAGCCACTTAAATTGGGAGCTTAGATTATATTTTATGTGATTTCTGGAGGGAGAGCAGGTAGGTAGATCTTGGATCCCTAGATAAGACTTTGAAGTGCAATATGTGTGATACATCATTTTGTGATTCCTCCTCAATTTCTTTGAACCAAAATCTGTCCATTTAAACAAATTGGTTCTCTCTGTATTGCTGCAGAGTTGATAGTAATAACTACATTTGTGAGAGTTAAGCAAAAGGTACTGTAGACATTTTACATATTGAGTCATGATGCAGTGGCTGCAATTTACTGTTTATTCTTACATTGTTCTCAAATTTTATTATCAGATAATTATAGCAGCTAGCCACACAGATGCATTGCCAAATGGCAGAGATCTTTCTTTCTTTTTGTATATTTAATGCTGCATGTTAGGAATGTCTATTACATATTTGTTGAGAATGACTTATTTGCTGATTTTTGCCTAAGGTTTGATTTTATATATATTTTGGAAATTTCCAAATAATGTTTTTGTGATGTTACTTTTCATTTTTGAAATTTACTAGAGAAGACGTTAATTAAGAAGAACTTTTAAAAACTTGTTATCATTGTTTTGAGAAATTCCTTTATGTGAATGGAATGCAATGCTTGTGGACATGGAATTTTTTTCCTCTGTGAATTTCTTATGAAAATGCATATTTATATAGAAGCTTACATTGTAAAAGCTGCTACAGTAAAGACACTATACGTTTGTGGCAGTTTTCTTCAGTGCTCTAAAGTAAAATTTAACTTTTGAGTTTACAGTTATTGACAAGAATGGTTTGTGAATGGTGCATTGAAGGTAAGATGCCTGAGCCAAAGATGAAACAGAACTAGTGGAACTGGTGTGAAAGAGTTTAATAGTTTTGAAATTAGATTAGCATTAAAATGCTTTTATGTTTTTGGCAATTTTTTCATCTTTCTGGTTCTTTCTTCTTTTTCTTCGATGTTGAATATTGTTACGCTAACCAGTCATTTGTTAGTATCAGAGAGCTGAGAACAAAATGAATTCTGACACAGAAGCGTATAACATCACATTAGTAACTGTATTTGCTGATAGTGAATCTCCATAATAAAAAAAAGCAATGAAATATAAAATACTAGTTATGTTTTGAAGTTTATAGAAGTACATTTTCTTTAGCTTTAAAACTATTTGTACGCCTATGACCAGAGGTATAGCTGATATTGGTGTTACCTGGGTGTATTTATACAGGGGTGCCCAGAAAGGGGGCATCTAGTAAGCTGAAAACTGGCTTACGGCCCCAACATTCTTTCACATTCAAAGTATATAAAAATTGTGTGTGTGTATTTTATTATAATATATAATAAATTCTAATTAAACCATTTAAAGATAATTATAAAAATTTATATTTTCATTTGTTCAATTAAAAACAAAAAAATTGAAGAAAAATAATATTTATTTAACTGTAGTTGAACTATAACCTTAAAATATATGTGGATGGAAACTTTTGTTTGAAATAAAGAGCCCGGAAGATCTACTGCTCTAAATCTCTTATAATTTTATAAAAAATATAAAATATTTTATTTAATATATATACTATATAATATATTATATAATCATATATTTCAAATATATTATTTTATATAAAATTCCATAATATAATATATTTTAATTTTGCATTATGTAAGGCTTTTGTTTTTTATAGTGTCACTTCCTCCCTCTTGTATCAAATAATAAGTAGTATAACATTGTCAATTTACATAATTTTAAATTAAAATTTTCAATTTATGTCACCCCTAGTATGCTGTTGCCTAGGGGGACTGTCCTCACTGCCTCTCCTTAACTATGGCAGTGTGTGCAGTCGTTGCCCAATTATTAAAATATAAGAATGTTTGCTGACCCAGGTAGCACAAGTGACTGCTATGAAAACTGCAGGATTTTCAGATTAATCTATATGAAGCACGGATGTTTTCCCTTTTGGATGGCGGCATGTGAGGTTTAGATAAATAACATTCTTTTCCATTCACAGCTGATCCAAATACTAGTTCATTGCTATTCAGGTGGGAACGTGGTCAGAGATACAGCATTAGAAGCAAAATAAGTTTTTTCTACCAAAGTTGGTGTTGACTGTTACTGGTTGAACTAAATCTGAAACTGGTTGCATATTTTTGAGTATCATTGTGGTTCTTTGGCTCTGGCTCTTAACAAGCTTCTGTTAAGAAATAAGTTGTGAATTAGAAATTTATCAAAAGAACATTTATTGCATCCATTTTGTATCATTGTGGAAACAAAGGATCTTCTTAATAGCACAGTTTTGTTGATATTTTATGACAGTTGCTTTTTAAGCCTTTCTAAGTAATTTTTTTGGTAAATTATATGAATTATTTTTTTAATATTTAGGATTCGTTGAGAATACTGAATGTAATAATTAATATTTGCTGTTAAGAAGCAAAATAATGTTACATTTACCTGAACATGTGAAAGTTTATCAGTGTGTTTTTGTAGCAGTTGTTTTCACGAGTCTACTTCAGCGTATCCCAACATTCTGTAGCTAATGAACATGCATGATGGCACGCATATGCATGAGTGAAGAGGTTGAAAAATGGTCTCCCGTACTGGGATGAAACAATTTCATAGGCACAAGAAATAAAATTTTTCAAGAATGTTGGGTATATTTTGAATTTATTGATTGTTTAGAAAAATTGGTTCATTCACATGGTGATTAATTTGGTCAAAAATACTTTTGGGTTGTTGCTAAATTACAAATGTCAATATTGTATACAGTACCTTGAGAGTTTCTTGGTTATGGCATGAATGTGATATGGAATCTGATTGTAAGTCTTATGAAGTGATGCTTCAAGCAATATTGCTGTGCTTTCAAGATTACTTTCATTTTTCAAAAATACTGCATATTTCATTTGGAAAATAGACATTTGGGTATTTTAAGTGTTTAATGTGCACTGAAATAGAAATTACCTTTAACCTTATATTGTATGTTCCTTGAGTATGTGAAAGATGCAGAGGAACTGGACTGCCCAAACTGACAATAAAAGAGGGCTGTTTCCTGGAATCAGTTTTGCCGCTGCGTAATATTTTGTTTGTTACCTAACTTCCTTCCTTATGAAGTGCTCATATTAAATAATTAGAATATTGTAAACATATTTTGTTATTAATCATTCCTGAATTTGGTTTTAGATGGAATAGTTTTCTTAGCAACATTTTTTCTTTTCTTTTTTACTCCCAATCTTTCTTTTTTCCTTCTTCAGTATCTGCTTCTACTTCTACTTCTCCTTCTCCTTCTCCTTCTTCTTCTGTGTCTGCATCTTCTTTTCCAAAAGGTTTTCAATACAACTTAAAATAATAAATTGATTTTGTTGGGAATTCACCTACTTGAGAACTTTTGAAACCATTAATGTGAATGTCTATGGAAAAAGGAATGTTTGAAATTATAAAGTTGAAAAATTCAGGGAGTGAACAAAAATATATACTCATTTGATTTTAAAACAATATTAGTACATTTTATTCATTTAATTGTGTTACTTAGGGAGTGAAGTGAAAAAGTTTGGTAAAAAAAGAATGTATTGTTAATTTTGTATTTAGTGTATTTAAAAAAACACTTCAGAGATTCATATTTTCTCAGGAAGAGGGAGCTAGTTTCGTTTTGATGCTAAATGATGTACAATTATACACCTCAGATGTAAGGCTTGTAAAACTGTTGTATGTTGGTGTATCTAGATTTCAGGTCAATTCATTTCATTTCAGGTCAGGTTCATTTCATTTCTTAAAATCTGCGGTTCTTCTCTTGTGTAAAATGAAAGAGAAAACAATAGGAATTAGGAGTCTTGCTAAATTGTGTATTGATAAATTTGGGTGTTAATTGACCATTTGTAATTTTTACCCAGGGTGAGTGTTTTATTGTTGTTATCCATCCCCATCAACCTTATAGTTGCTGAATATTGCTCTACTGATGGATATAAATAAGAGGCAGAATTCACCAATACTTAAATGCTTGACAATCATGCTTTGAACCTTAAGCTAAGATTCATGTGACTTGCTAATGAGGTGCTTGAATATAGTTTTACTTTCAAACTTCGTCTGTCGTTTCACCAGCACTCTGCAAACTTATTTAAAAGCAATAATTTTTTTATTAAAAAAAGGTTATCTGATTAGTATGCAAAGGCTCCCTGATTAAAAGCAATGATTGAACAAGAAATGTTCTGTTGTAAAAGCAATAAGTAGAGTATATTTCTGTTGAATACTTGGTTGTTTCATCTTCATTGTCTCACTTGTATTTTCTGTGTGATGTGATGCCCGCTGTCTAACTTTCAAATGAAAACTACAGCTGAATAATCTTTGCTCTTTCAAGGCAAATATTATTCAAACAGTATTTAATAGAAGTCATTAGATTCAGGATGTTTGTTATTTGCTGCATGTTACTGAGTTTAAATCCAGAAAATATATTTTTCCTTCAAGATATGCAGCCCATTTTCTTTCGTTTCACTTTACATTTTTGCATGAAACATCTCCAAGTTTGTATCTTATTATGCCAAGAGAAAGTATATTTTATTGTTTTTTACACTTATGACATAATATGAATTTTATTTAAATATGGTTGTTATTTTACTTAAGATTTAATGAAAATCTGTGATATTGTTTGTGGTGACATGTGCAAACCACCACATCATGAACTTCAGTAGTTCACTGTAATACATCACTTGAGTCTGCAGAGATTATTTACAAAAGGAATATTTAATATTTAATTGTTTATGTTATCTGTAGATCATTTCATTCAGTTTTAATCATTGTGCTAATAGCATATGTAATATTGGTATATACTAGTAATATAACTCAATTAGAGTTTTGCTTCATGTGTTATTCCATACTTTCAAAACTCTCCAGAGTTCTAAATTTTGTTATGTAAATTTTAGGTTTTCTTATTTGGTTTTTAACATGTTGCTTTCCTATCAAGGTTTCTATTGTCTTCCTTCAGGTTTGTGTTCAAAGTCCTTGCAACTTCCAAATCCTGCCTTGATTCAGGGGAGAAATTTTATTTATATACTGATAAGTAGTTTGTAGATAGAAAGTAGCAAACTTATATGCAATATCGTTTTTATTGTTTGTATCTTCAATTTTATGCCTACATATCATTTGTGTAATTTTTCTTGATTTCTTTTTCTGCATCCATTTGATGGAAACGAAGATGAATGCTTAAGGTTTATGTTGACTATAAGAAAAAGTTACTTAACAATGAAATTTATTTAAAGGTTTTGAATATATAGAGGTTTAGGTTATGTGCAGTTGGATCTCAATAATAGGCTGATTAAAATAAGCAGTCTTGTTTATAAGAAGAAGTCGATGTTCTATGAAATCATAAATATAAAAAACTCTATGAGAACAGGTCAGTCAGAGTATAATGGTCACTTTGTGTTGCATGATTTTATGGGTTTATATTACTCTTGAGCTGTTGCTAAGAGGGTGCTAATAATGTGACTTTTACTGACGTGTATCTGAAGTATGGTTTGCCAGTAAATATGCAGGTATCTATTACGTTTTCTTTAAGAGTGTATTGTCAGTATGCGTTTATATTTGACTCGTATGTAATATCATAAATTCTTTATTGGTCATAACTGAGGTTGATGAACGTTTTCTACTAGATGTTTTCTGTATACTGTTAATGTTGTGAGCTTGTGTGTGTATTGAACTGGAAATTACCTGCAACTTTCATTTTATTGTACAGCATAATGTAAATATATATCTTCATACCATAATTTGTATAAATGTAAATATTTGTGGAAATATCACATGTTTTAACTGATGTAAAAGTTTTGTTAATATTCTAAAAATTGTTTTTAAAAATTATGAGTATTTTGATGTTGTTGTAAAGTTTGGAATATTATTGGTGTCTTTAAATTGCCTTAGGTTGTTAACAGATACTTCAAAATCAATTAAAATATTTAGCATATCAACTATAAAAATGAATGAATGTCAATCTTTGAAATCATGCTATATGTATGATGGTTTCACAAGAAATATTTTATGCAATTAAAGCAGCTAACAAATATGATATACAAAATATATAATGGCCTAAATGTTTAGAACGAAGTGCCAAATTATATCTCATTAAGAAGAATTGAAGAGTGTGGAGAAACCTTAGCTTGAAACAAAAAAGAAAAAACAAATAATGTGGTTCTAGATTTCTTTTACTGTTTTGGGAAACCCATTCTAGCCTTTCATTTATTGTTGAACCGCTATTTTCCTGGGAAGTGAAGTATTTATGAACAGAAGGATATGTACTATAATACGTGATATTTTGATTGAATGATTGCTGATTTTCAGTTTCAAAAAAGGTTGTAAGATTTTTGTGCTATAGGGAGAGAAAATATGTAATAAAAGTAGGGTAATTTTATTTTGTTGACTGATTTTAGCTGAATATCTCCTGCTCTCACTTTTGAGAAAATAAAAATAAAGTATTCTATAGCATAAGAACTGTGAGTGAAACTGAAATTACATGTTCACTAACTGCTTGTATCCAAATCTTTCTCAATGTCTGATACGAAATGAAAATGAAAATTAATCTCCAAAAATAATGGTCCAATATTATGAAAGTGAAGTGTTATATTTTTAATTGCTCTTCAAATTAATATTCATAACATAATTTTGCCATTGAATGCTTTCCCTTAAGATATGATCATGGATCCATATTTTTACCCATATAACTATGAAATCCTGTCAATCAGATGTCAATGTGCTAAATTATATTGAATATATTAAGTGAATGTTAAAGTAATAATCTTAACTGACATGTAACATATTTGCCTTGAGAATATCCGTATTTTCAGGTATAATTTGAGAGTTTTGGTGCAATCCCAGATGAGATAATCATGCGAAAAAAGATAACTTACATTTGCTATGATATTTGGATCTTGTAAGAGCTTTCTCCACAGTACCTTCAGTTCTTCCCTAACTATTCTGCTTGTTTGCAATGTTTTGAATATAATTGATCTGATTTGTAATGGTACATTGAAGTTGCTGACTTTTCTTGATATTTCACAAATATATTCTCTTATGTGTATGATTATTTTTGAATTTACATCTACTGTATTATGGTCATACTAGAGAATGAATTATGCAGGGCAGAAGAAAGTTGTGAAAAGGTCTTTGTGAATTGAACTAGTCCTATAAACTGGTTGCCCAATAATTTTGTTACACTATTCAAATATGCAACTCTCTCTCCTTCCTAACAACTTGTTCAAAATATATTGTTGTGTTATCAGCTGTGTACCAAAGTTTCTGCAACTATAAAGTTTGATAAAATTTTTAAAAGCATTTCATTAATTTGCCTTCCTTTGATAGATCATTTACCTCACTATGAAGGTATTTTACTGCAGCTAAACAAGAAGACATGTTGGGCTCAAATGCTTTTAGCACAGTTCTGTTTTGGTACAAAGGACAGAGTAATGTGTAAGTGCACTGGAAACATGCTTACAACCCCTGGTCCCCCTTAGGTCACTGATGTTTGGAAAGTGTAGTTTATTTCTTTTCTTCTTTGTACTTTCTCATATACCTGCGCTTGTACGGAGTTATATAAGTATATAAAGAAAGTTATGTAATGCTGCGGAAAATCGATTTCCAGATTTCAACGGAAATACACGTTTTTGGGGTCTCCTGATACCGAAAAAAGTGTTGTTTCCCCCTCCCCCCACAACGTACGTCCGCCCGTCCGTCCGTCCGCCCGTCCAGTGTATGTGAACAACACTAGTACCTAGGATTTTTTCCATTTTGAAGAAACCTCTTTCGAACTGGCCTTTAGTCGAAACTCTGCGATTTTGAACAACATTCAATAATTTTTAGTTGTTTTTTTTTACATGAAGCCCCTGGAGCATTTTCAAAATGTTCTAAAAAATGGCTTCAAATTTTTTCTTTTAAATTTCTTGCAAAAGTTCGGATTTTTTTCGGCGTCTTTCTACAACTGCAAACTTGAACATAGAGGATTTTCTATGTAATAAAATTTGTTCTCTATAATGAGTTCTTTCATTAAGGTCATGTACATTTTTTTGAAACGGATAGTAGTTTTCGCGCAATGTTGCGTGAAATATCTCGGTGTAGAATGTGTTATAAATTTACTCTATGAGTTGACCAACGAGCTAGAATATAATATGTAGTACATTGGAGTTGAAATAAACACCATTTTCTCTCTTCTTTTGTTGCTTTAAAAAAATACAAAAATGTAATTTTTTTTACTTGCCCCTCACGTCGTGACTATTTACCTTAGTGACAATTAGTTAACATTATTGCATTTACGAGTACATGTGCTTTAAATCATGTCATAAAGTTTCTATGAAACTAAACAGTTTTCTGTGAAATTCGGTTCCAAATTCCCCATTTTCAGAGACGCTCAAACGAAATTTCTCTAAAACCTGCTCCAATTTTTTTCTTCAAACTTCTCATACGGATAGTGCTAATTACATTCTTAGAGATGACAAAATTAATTTTGCTGTATTCTTTTGTTATTTCAAAAAATACAAAAGTTTTTTAATCTCTCACGTCGTTAATATGCATATTTCCAGTGGGACGGTTTGCACATATTATTGCACTTGTAAGTGAATGTGTTTCCAATAAATTTTATCGAAAACTCAAACATTTTCTGTGAATAAAAGCTTCGAATTTTGCATTTACAGTAACGTTTAAACACCATTTCCATAGAAACGGCTCCAAATTTTTCAATGAAATTGCCATTTATGACGACTATTTACCTTCTATAATATTCTGAAAGCAATATTTCAGTTCTATTCAGAAACCGAAAAAAGGCCGAGGAGAAAAAAATAAATAAAAAAAGGACTTTGGGCGACGAAAGATGGCAGCCGGCAAGAGTTGGCTTGGCCGGCATGTTGCAAGCAGTGCCGGCTCGTGCTTAGGTTGCACGGTTTCACAACCCGCAGATAATGGAATAAAATCTCGTAATATCTTAGTAATATTTTCCTTTTAATTACTTTCAATATTCAAGATATTGCAGCAATATCGTTGTATATGAAATCATTTTGAAACCAAAGAGCCATCAACTGCCGCTTCCTCCGGTGCCTTGCCGGGAGTGCCGGGGTGGCACCGTTCTCTTGGGTCTTGGTTGTGTTACTGGATTTTCTGCAATTATTCTGTGGCTCTTCTTTTAAAATGGCAAACATAGTTTTTTTTTGGTTGGGCAACCAGGCGCTGTCTAGAGCTATGCGTTGACCGAGGGAGTCTCCTGGGAATTCCAATATTCTGTCTTCGCCCGACTCATTGCGATGTAATTTTATGAATTTCTGTTGTTATTGAAAGTACACAAATTGAGTCAATTATTGACGGTATTTAATGCATTGTTTATGGTGTTTAGAGAATTTGTTTTTTTATTTTATTTTAGATTTGTTGATTTTGTGTACCCATGATAAATTCTTGGTGTAAAGTTGGCCGTTCTGGAAGGAAGTCCCTTTCTCGGTAGATCATATTTCCGCTGGCAGTAGTCTGCATGGGGAGCACTGGTAGGTAGGAATATGTGCGTGTGTGTTTGTGTGTGGAAGGACCTTCATTACGAAATGTACAAGGATAGTGGAATTTTCGAAATAAATAATTATATAATAAATTTATTTGTGTGAAACGTGTTGTGCAATGTGCTGGAGTCGAACTTAAGGTGGTTAGAGCGAGATATTCCCTAGTAGATAGAGTCCATATTACGTTCAAAAATAATTATTTGCGACATAAGTGGGTATTGTGGGACCTTCATAAACCAAATAGGAACTTTTATGCTGAGTTTTATTTAATTTTTCGAATTAATTTAGTTTAATAGATGTAAAATAAAAATATTTTAATACCACATAAAGAGCAACCGTTGACTAGTTTCTTAACTAGAACCAACAGATCGCGTGGCCACGGAATGAAAAATTGAAGCATAAGATTGAACAAAAAAAGAAATTTTACACAATTAGTAAGAACAAAATCATAAACCGTAACGTTATAGACATATATATTTGCTCGGTAATTGCTAATAATGGCAAACATTTCAATGTTTGAGTGAGGCGAAAAGTCTTCAATAAATTGGGCAACGCGGTAATGTCCTTGAGATTGGCATGACTGCTCAGGGCACATGCTTCTTTAAAGTTTCGTTACTTTGATTCACATTGAATACTGTTCGTTGCCTGGTCGACACGCGGTAAATATCACAATCTGAGAGAATTGGCGGAAGGTTTATTTCCAAAGCGGAATTTTCGAGATAACGAAATAATTACCCTAATATCACAAGAACAGTGAGGTAATAAAAATTTTTCAAATATGTTTTCAATGCTTGTTTCTCTCTAATTTTTATTTCTTGAATTACCTGAACCAATGGAAGGACAAACCTTAGATTATTCGATCACTTAACAAGATCAAAAGTTTCGTTCTCTCCAACATTGTATAAAGCTTTATATTTTACTTGACAGAAATCGTAATCATTGACTCGTACTGCTCCTTATTATCCTTCTTATCACAGTATATTTTTTAGTTTTTTTTGTTATTCCCCTACTCTATTTTTGCTTAGTTAATTAAACTTCATGATCAATTTTTAATGTTTTAATAGTTTTGATTGAATTTTTAGAACTATTTTTGCAATTACAGTGTGCCGTATTTTTCCCCCTCGGTGCGGTTATATAATTCATAGAAACTATTTGCTGGTTTTCAGCATAATTTTATATCAGGATTGATTGATATCATGATTGATTTAGATGCAAATTATTGTGTAAAGTACATAAATTAAAGCTGATAAAATGAAAATACTGCGTCAGATAATTCTGAGAGCTTCATTATTGAGACCTTCAATAATAAAATTATACCATTGTTGCAGATAAAATCAAAATTAAATAGTAAGATTTAATTAGTAATTAAATTAAATAGTTAAATTCAAAAGTAAATAGTAGATTGTAAATTTCACTGTGTTTTTTGCAGTTAAATAAACTAGAGGGTGGTGGCACTATTCTGACTTCGGATTCAGCGCCAATAATTACACTGGTCAACACAGATTTTCTTGCCAAATAATTTCAAGTCAATTTAGGGTATGTTTGATGCACAGATTCCAGATTTGGCATTGGTTTTGGTAGATTGGCTCTAGTTTTTGAGATAATGAAAATCGGATCGAAAAATATTATTTTATTAAGTACAGGCTATTCGTAAATTGCATAAAACTTAAACTAAATGTAACTACATATACCTATTTATACAAAATTAAGCTATCCTATCCTATGCCTATCCCATCTGCTCTGATATCTATCTTCAATTACCTTTTTTTTCTTGATGGAACCTCTCGCTTTGTTTCTCAGACACATTGTCAAGATTTCCTGGAAATTTGTCTAGATGGCTATAGATATAGTGTACCTTAATGCTTAGGTGACCAAACGTCCTTCCTTAGAGAGGACAGTCCTCCTTTTGTAGGTTCTGTCCTTCCTCAAAACGTGTACTGCTATCTGTCCTCCTTTTCGATATTTTAAAACTAATATGTTAATCTCTGTATTCAGAGATGCCACACCGAAATGTTACGCATCTTGTGACGATAATGATGCAAATAGTGTTGCTAGATCAGGAGGGACTTTTGCCGTTTGCAATAGTTTCAGCTTCAGTATTTCAGATTTTTGGAAAAGCGAGATAGCAATATTGAATGTTGATACTCTAACTGCAGCACTTTCCGTAAAATCCAAGATGGAGGATATTTCTTGTCCTGAAATTTTCAATATATTATTAGAATATGAAGTATTGACAAAAATATTCATTCAATGGGAAAATGCTCGTGTAATTAAATAATTAAAAGGCACATATCATAATTAGTGTATTTTTTGAATTATTAAAATGTTTAATTTATTTACGTCGTACTTTTTCCGTACATTTTTTCGTTCTCCTTCAAATAATGAAAACATTGGTCACCTTGTTAATGCTCATAGCTTCACCCAAATTGTGAAAGTTTAAAAGCAAGTCTTGCACCAGTTGTGCATAATTTGCTGCTTTATGATTATCCAAAAAGATATTGATAACAATGACAAAGCTGTTTACGTAGCCAGTACAGTGTTGTGTTATTTTCGCTTCCGTTGACAGACATTTCTTTTCTTTTAGTTTGGGTTCTAAGTTCTGTTTCTTGGTTTGGCAAACTGAGGTCATGTATTAAATCACTGAGCTTATTTTGGGAGAAGTGTTCTTTTGTAACAACAATATCATCGTATTCACTGCCACTGTTAGCTCCTGAATTACACCCCAGAATGTGTATTGGACACTAGGGAATGTGGGGAACGCTGGAATGGGAACATCGTGTCCAAACCTTGGTAATTCCAAATCACGGAACTTCCAGTTCTTTTTCCTGTAACGGTTGAAGCCTTTTATGTTTACTGAACAAAAATAACAAACATCATGATGATTTTAGGGCTCTCGCCGTACCATCGGTACACCAAATTTTTAACTCTTCAGTTTTCCAGTGACGGAGACTCTTCGCACAAATTTTGCATACCATATGGGGAGCCCACGACTCATCTTGATCACCCAGTTTTGTATCAAAATATGTTTCATACATTTTTCTACAAAGTTTGTAATATTTCTTTTCTCTTTATATAGTGTAGGTAAATTCCTCACAAACGTCTTTTAGAAGAAATCATTGTTTTGTAACAAAAGTAGATACATTAAAAGAACGATGCTTAATTGAAGTATCCGGAAAATAATGCGATATTCAACGTTTAAAATAAAAAAAACAATGTTTGTATAAAGATAGATATTTGCATTAAATGCTGTGAGTTTTGTGATAGCATCATTCATTACAACGTTCGTAGCACAAAAAATAGAGCCAATTCAATGGAACTAATAAATCGGGATTCAGCATACCTGATTTACGAAAATTCGTTGCAAAATCCTGGGCAAGAGAAATAAAAATTGTTGAGCAGTGTTATACATAGGAAAACAGTTGTCAAGTCTTTGGGTCCGACAACTTTGTTTGTGTGCTTGTGTAATCATTAAAACTAATAAAATCGTATCGCAGCATGAGCTGCGTTTACTATGCATGCGTAATTCTACATAATCTGTAATATGACAGATTCTACCCAAACCTTTTAAATAAAAAACTATCTTAATTTACCGATCAAATTCGACTCTCAGTCGGGCATTTAAATAGTATACCCAGGATGGGGAAATATAATAACTAGGGGCGGATTTAATTGAAATGTCTTTTTCTCTTTTCATTTTAGAACAATGGCATTTAGTATAGAAATTCATTTTATGTTATGACTAAACGAAATTTTCGTGTCATTTTTTCGTCGATTTAACCTTTTTGACTAAGTTAAAAAGTACTAAAAATGACTTAAGTTATTTTTTACCTTTTTACGTCATTTTTACAGCAGTTTTCGCTGATTTAATGGATTTTAATATCATTTTAATGGCATTTACTTCAAAAAATATTTACGAGGTGCAACAAATTTTCATCACAGAATTCCTGAGTAGCTTAGCGTTCTTCGCTATTGTAAAGTCAGCCGTTGTGACTACTGTTTAATCTAAGGTTCCTGTGGCGTTTATCGGCGCCATTGTTAGATCGGCCGATTTCACGATAAATAAAGACAGAGATTTTCTTTTAAAAAACAGTCTTAATCCAAAGTTTGCAAGCTGAGTTCACTTGAACAAAGGGAAGAAACCTCGATTACATCAGTAACATATCCAACACCTTGAGTTGTTCATCTGAAGTGGTTTTGATACAATTTTTACGTCATTTTTCTTTGAGAGCGTAGGCTTCCGCGGCCGGAGTCAGTGTTTACTTGGATGTAGTGCATTACGCCCTGAGGAAGGTGGCAGAATGGCGACCGAAACTTCGGCACCTTCGCCATGGACGCGGTGTCACCCGGTCAGCCAAGTAAATGTAATTTTTCTTTGTTTTAGGGCATTTTAAGAGTGTTTTATTGATCATTTTTGGCAATATTGTAGGTCATTAAAATCCGCCCCATAGTTATTAAGGATAACTACGTGGCTGATTTTGATGACCTAAAACATCACTAAAAACGATGAATAAAATACTCTAAAAATGTTTTTAAAATGTCCTAAAAGAAAATAAAAATTAGGTCAATTTCTTTATCAAAACAAATCCAGATGTGTGCTATGTGTATGTATTCATGGATGGGAGGGCATTCCCTCCAAAAGAAAGTCCTAGAGAAAAAATTAAAATTAGAAACACAAGAAAATGATCCAAATGGTCGAGATCGTTAAGACAGTAGTGATTTCGGACCGAAGGATTGCGGGTTCGAGCCACATTGTTGTATTTGTGTAATAATAATGAGGTGATTGGCAAGGACAGTCAGTCGAAAAAAAATAGGGCTCAGGAAATGATAGAGATATTTCAAAATATTTAGTATTTATTGAGCATATATATACAAAAAGGAAATATGTACAGATATTATTAGATAAGTTATATACACTTATAAATACATTTTAATTTTAAATATAAAAATAGAGAAACTACACTGATCAGCTGAGCGTCACATGTTGTTATGATACTTTGAAATACGAGCACTTATTTTATTAATCAGTTCTGTTGAAATGTATGAAGTGTGATTGGGTTCACACACTCAGTGGAGTATTAGTTTGAATGATATCCTCAGATGCCAATTGTAAGTGAATTTTCAACATCGTGTACTATTTTAGATCAGTGTAGTGTAGATCTGTGTTACAAAACTCAGTGCTATCGAGGCTGTGCATTTTCACCAGGCAGGTAGCGGGACTAGGGGGTGTAGCCATCCCAAAAAAGTCATTTACTGTTGTGCGATCAGTTCATGACGACGTTCTTTTGTAGTTGAAAACATTGAATCAATTTTACGTTTACACTGTAAACAATATCGCTAAAAGATGTTCGCTAGGTCTTTCACATCTCGTTAAAATAAAAAGGTGTCAACACGTCGTATCTCGGTTTGGTGTAATATTACACCATAGTCTTCGCCGGTTCACTTTTCAATGTTATATCGAGAACCCCCCCCCCTTCCCCGCCCCCAATAGTAGTGTCATTGCACGTTTTGCACCTTTAGAGCACAGAGCGGTGGCTGGAGCGCTTGATGTCCTTTAAGGACTGGTTGGAGAGGTTCTCGAAGACCTGGCACATCTTCCGGACGGAGCCCTGGGTGGGGGAGGGCGGGCTTTGAAGGTCGCGCGCCCTCTGGCGCAACTCGCGTCGGATCACCTTGCCAGAGGCGGTGCGCGGGATGGCGTCTGTGAAGCGGACTCCGCCATTCAGCCACTTGTACTCAGGTAGTTGCTCTGCAATAAAAAAATTACATGATTAATACACGTCTCGTTTCTCTTGGGCGTTTGGTTTGTTTAGCCATGGACAAGACACAATCTTTACTTTTATTAAACGTTAAAAGATCAGTTAATTAAATGTTTTGATGTGGTATCAGATCAGATAGCTTTATCTTAATTTCTACGACTCGTTAATGCATTTCAGATATTCTCTTGAATTTGTCATTAAAAACAAGGTTGATCAAATCTCTTACCTTTCACTAGATTAATGAGCTCTTCTTCTGTCACAGCGGCACCAGGCTGCTTCACAACGAAGGCCACCGCTTGCTCCTGCTCTAAATCGTGCTCGATGCCCACGACAGCTGTGTCTTTGACAGCTACATGTGACAGGAGGACGCTCTCAATGTCTGTTGGAATCACCTGAAAAGGATCTTTTTATTACTCTTTGTGTCACGAGCAATTTATACCTGTGCGAGAGTTGATGTGGAAAACGGGTTGTTATTTACAACGAAATACAATTACGTACCTGGATTCCCTTTTGTTTGATGAGCTCCTTTATTCTGTCGTGCACAAAGAAATAGCCGTCGTCGTCGAAGAAGCCTATGTCACCAGAATGCATCCATCCCTCCGAATCGATGACGGTGGCAGTCGCTTCGGGATTCCTGTAGTATCCTTTGAATACGTTTGGCCCTTTGAAGCAGATCTCGCCTTCTGTGTTAGGGCCGTTGGTCTTGCCAGTTTCTACATCAACAACCTGCAGAAAGATGAAACATTATCATTAGCCCATTCGTGAAAATACATCAAGTTGCTTAAAAGTTAGCCAGTGGTGCAGCGTTATAACAACAATGACAAAAAGTGCGAAATGAAAGAATGCGTAAAGGAAGTAAATAGATATTATACAGTGGTTAATATGAAAATACCAAGCCTCGATAGGTATGAATGATGCAAAATGTTTTCAGTCATGAATAACTAATTTTCATTTTGAATCAAAATATTTAGGAGGCATTGATTGGCTCCTAAACGAAGGGCTCAGTGGAACCTCGGGCTATTCCACATTTTTTTGTCAAATTGAGTTATTAGCATTATACAAAACTTCAAATACAATGATTTTAGTGCAATGTGTTACTTAAATCCAGTATCAACTTATTGGCAAATGTACTATGTTTAAGATTTTAAAAATATATTGACTTGTATGAGGAAAGTTCAAATAAAACCCTCATGTCAGAACTATGTCTTTGTAGAATAGCCCCTTGTTCTACTGAACCCTTCAATTGAATCGTTTATTTCAGAAACTCGTGAAACTCCAAATTCCTCATTTCGAGAAAACTGAGAAAATGTGTCCCAGTTTTTTTAATTCAAAATTCGTTTTAATATTAAAGTAGTTGTTAAATAAGTATTTTTACCAAACGATGTGTCTATCCTCATGGAAGAATATTCTGCCGCTAACGTTTTTTATTTCCTTTTTTTATAAAGATTTTGGCGTTTGCCATGTTTGTGAAAGGAACGATTGGATGGGCGTTGGCGAAGGCGGTCACCTTGATCATGGTGTTGGGTGCGGGGACGCCGACGGTGCCCGGCTTGAGCGGGTTCTTGGGGCCCGGCACGACGGTGAAGAGGCACTCGGTGAGGCCGTAGTACTGCGCCAGGGGCTTGTGCAGGCGCTGCTCCGCCTTCACCTTCATGACGAGGCTGAGCGGCGCGCCAGCGTAGCTGATGAACAGCAGGCTGGACAGGTCGTACTTCTCGACGCTGGGGTGCTTGGCGATGGCCACGATCTGGAAGGGCGACAGCGCCAGGATGTTGGCCTTGTACTTCTCCACGGTGCGGAGCAGCGTCTCCACGTCGAAGCCGCGCAGCAGGATCTGCGTGATGTTGACGTGCAGGCTGATGAGCGTGGAGAAGAAGCCCGAGCTCCAGAAGCCCGGCGACACCAGCACGTGCACGGGCGGACGCTCCAGCTTCGTCAGCGAATCCAGCCTGCGAAAAGACGTCACCATCAGGATAACTACTTGTTTAACAGAAGAACGATTGGTTGGTGAACGGCTAGGGTTATTAGTCCCGTTAGTGTAGTGCATGTTTTCACAGGAAGTGCAGTGATCTTCCTCAACAGGACCGTGACATCCGGCGCCGACCTACACATCGGCTCACAGGGTTTTCGCCAAACAGTTATTTCCCACCAGCGGGGCACTAGATATCTCCTATAGGCTCTAAGCTTCCGACTGATCTCCCGACAGATGTGGTTGTATAAGTGCATATAAGTGTGTGTAAGCAAGGGGTAATGTTAGAACAAGGAAGAGGAAGGAAAGGTAGTGAACGATCTGTGGCTTGTTTGTCAGTGTACTGCTACAGCATTCGTCTGGTTTTGATCGAAGAAACGTCGGAAAACTACCGATCAGAGCAGCTGACCGCTAGAATTCTTCTGCAGGCAGCGTGTGAATTGGACCTGTCTGTGAAGCTAGTGTCGAAAACCCTGCGTGGAAGCCTGGAACCTCCCGGTGCGAGGCACTGTAGGGGCATCAATTGATGCCCTGAGCCACCCAACCCCGGCGGAAGAAGCCCGAGGAGGAGGAGGAGAATGAGAATAAGTTGAGGCGGAGTGCTCACCCTGAGAGCGCCATGACGGCGTGCAGGTTGCGGTGCGAGAGCTCGACGCCCTTGGGCGGGCCCGTGGTGCCGCTGGAGCACATGATGACGGCGGTGTCGTCGGCGCTGTAGCGCGCGTCGGGCGGCGCGTCGAGCAGGGCGCGGTCGGTGTGCGCGAGGAAGGCCGGCCACTCGCCGCCGCCGCGCTCCTCGGGCACCACCACGGCCACGTCGGCCGGCAGCCCCGCGCGCAGCGCCTCGGCCACGCGCGCCACGCACAGCGCCAGCCGCGGCTCCAGCACGCGCAGCATGTGCTGCAGGTCGCCTGCGCAACACACGGCTCCAGTCACGTTTGCGAAATTCACGCCACGGATGCCTCTCCGCACTGAGCCAAGTCAGCGGGTCTTATTAACAAGTGCATTTCTTTTATACTGCCATTTCCGCAACTCTGCCCCTAGCAGGTATCAGCAGTTAACGGTTTCATCCGATATGGCGTTACAGTGACGTCACTGTGGTGACGTTCAAGATCCCGATTGGATGAAACAGCCTACAGCTGATACTTGCCAGGGGCAGAGTTGCGAAATCGCAGTATAGTAGCAAGCAGATCACCGGGAAACAAGTGAACAACATAATTTCTGCTGCTAGCACTCACACTAGCCACTGTTGCTACTATGGAGAGACTTTCCTGGCGCGCTGTATTAGTTTTGCAATTAGTTTATAATGTTAACCTTCATTGCATGAGTATATGTTTTGAAAACGAGCGACATTAAGAGCGAGTTTTCAAATTTGTACCAATGCAATAAAGCAACATTATAAATGAGTTGCATACGCTATTTTTTGTATAGTAGAATTATGAATTTATAACAGAATCAAACTTAATTTTGTGAAAAACCTTTTGACTTCTCGAGATTTGACATCTGTGCGAGAAAACGTGGTCGGCTTCCGTTTATCGCTGTTTCCCCACGAATCTCTCGCTGCGATTGTCTGAATGTGTGATGACGTAAACATTCGTACCCGAAAATACTATTACGTCATCATTTTTGCCGTAAAATACCCTTTTATAAACGATTTCTTGCAACAGAAAGGGTCGTTTATAATGCTGATATACAAAAAATATGTTTTATATGCCATAGAAATAATGCCAAATTCAAGAACGATTTATCGTCTTTGGTATGTTATTGCCGCCAGAACTATTAATTTTTCTCTGCCATTTTGTATTCGCTACGTTCACTTTTGAAAAATGTAGCTTTAAATTAGTGTTCAGTGACTCAGCAAACCCGTATGTTCTTATTCGTGAGAAATACGTTACTCCCGTCATTTTGCATTTCGACTATCCAACTTCAGATTCGTATTCAGAGACAGTCCTTCATTATCAACTTTTAATTGAAATAAATCAAAAGTAAGTCCATGGGTCTAATGGATAGCACTTACAGCTCTAATATATTTCAAAAATCTATTTATTCAAAACATCTAAAAAGTTTGGGATTTGAATGTCATTTTAGTGACCTTTCGGGTGAAAACAAGTTACTAAAATATATTTTGTATCTACATGCGCTGAACACCTAGGGATGTTCCCTTGACAGTAGATGGAGATACGGATTCTGTACCGTCAGTTTTGTTGAAGTGCATTGATATTGTATAATATAGAGGTATAATGATAGATATAAGTAGTAAATATTTTGACTTGAGTTGAATATTTTTCATATATTTACCACTTTACACACTTAAAATCAAGAATAATTTTAGATTTTCACCCCGGAAATTGTCCGTCACCTACATTTTATCCAGTTGCGCAAAGAAAGGGGTGAAATGTTTTTCAGTGAGGGCTGTCTTCCTACTCTCAAACCTTATGAACCAACCAACGGATTCTGACAAGCGGAGACCAAACGGCGCTACTTTGAGGGCGAGAGCGACGCGTGCTGAAGCAGGGAGTGCTCACCTGGCGCGAGTCCGGGGTTGATGGGCGCGAAGATGGCGCCGATGTACATGGTACCGAGGAAGACGTAGGTGTACTCGAGGCAGTTGTCGAAGGCCGTCAGCACCACGTCCCCCTTGCCGATGCCTCTGCGCCGCAGCTCCGCGGCGACGCTCAGGGCGCGCTGCACCATCTCCTCGGCGTTCACCGCCTCCTCCGTCTGGGCGTCCACCTGCGCACGAGGACGCGATGACGAGGGCGTTTCCGGGCGCGGAAAAAGCTCAGGTCGCTAGTCCCGTACGCGAAGTGCACGTTTCAACCGTTTGTACTGAAGGTGACCTTCACTCGCTGGATAGCGAGATCCGGTGCCAACCTACCGGGTTTTCCCTAGCCAGGTATTTACCACCAGCGGGGCACCGCCTCAACCGGGACAAGCTCTAAGCACCGGATGTCATAACACATGTACTAAACGGAATATTATAGAGGCACAGAGGATAGATCTCGGAAGGGAGCTGGTTACATCCTGAAGTGGATTTACCGACACCTACAAACTTCGTCAATTCATTCAACACCTTCAATCGTCAATTCGAGATTACTTAGAAATTTACAGAAAATCGCAATCGAGGTGGGGGGAGGGGCTGCACGCAGGATGCATTACATCTATCAATTATCAACAAAAACGAGATTAACGAAGGATAGCAAACACCTCGTGAGGTCCAGCCTGAACCGAGAATGAATTATCAATTCCAGTCACTTTATAGGTGTCACTTTCTGGTGGAAACGATTGATTAGACACTTCATCTGCCAGTTCCGGCACTTTCAGGCGACAATGTAGGTTGACTAGCTGTTGGGTTTCAATTTTCCGGTTTTGTTTATTTATGGCGGAACTAGAACCTCAACGTTCCAGCGACCGGAACTGAGATTGAAATATAATGAAATTGAACGAATGGTAAAATCTATATTTCAAGATTTTAAAACACATAAAGTGTTATAATGCAAGGATGAATCCAAAGTCTGTAGTTTTAAAACGGGTGTTCGAAATACTAATCGTGAAATAAAATCAGGAATATTCTGATATTAAATCGTAACAGTGATGTGGACTCGGAATGCATTTAAAAGAATAACTTCTCTCGGTAAAAAAACGAGAGTTTCCTTGTATTGCAACAAAAAATACAACAAAAACGGAATGATATCAGTATCCACACATATTGCAAGAAAAATATAGGTTTTCAGATAAGTACAAAAGATAACCGGAAGTCTTGTTGGTTGGTACTGAAATTCCTGCGTTTACACGCCCTTCGTCGTCTGATGTCGGAATTTCGAAAATAGAGAAACTTATTCATATTGAGAAACGTAAGGTAACGTAACGTAAGAAAATACAACCCGCAAAGGATTTAGTTGTTTGTTTGGTCACCCGTGAAGTATATCTGTAACTGTTTCGATGTATTGAAAGAAAGCCGGAATGATATCAGTTTACCTACATGTTACAAGAGAAAATACCAGCTTTCATAAAAGTACAAATCCTATATCCGGAGGTCTTGTTGGCTGGTACTGAATTTCCCTTCTGCGTCTGACGTGGGGGTCTCCCGGATAGAGGAACGGACGTCGCGAAACGAGCGATCGCGAGTGGCGCCGGAGGAAGCAAGCGGACCGAAGCGGGTGGCCGCGTACGCACCTGCACCCGGGGCTGCGCCCTGCCGCGCAGGCGGCCGATGAGGAAAGCTCCCAGGTTGACGTCGGGGAGGTTGAGGTTGAGCTCGGGGCCTTTGAGGGTCCACTGGTCGGGCACCATGGCTGCGAGAGGACGGCGCTGGGCTGGGCTGGGCTGAGCGAGGAGGCGAAGAGAGCAGGTGAACTGTGCCGGTGCGCCCCTCGCCACGCGCTTTTATGCTCGCCCCGGAGCGCCGCGCGCCGTGCGTCACGCCGCCCGCGGACCACAACTTCGTCACGTGGGACAGGACCCGCGGGCAGGCAATCTGATTGTGAACTTGAAATCTGCGATAAGCGCACTGGTCCACTTTAAATTGTGTCAAGTGAAGACGACAGGGTTTTTTCGTCGATAGTTGAGCGATACGCTTTATCGCATGTGCGTTTCTCGCGTTTGTGTCGTAGGTTTTATCGCGGTTGAGGTTGCTTCGCTCACGTGAAGCGCCGAGGAGGTGTGATTCAACACGAGCGAAACAACAAACGCGCCCTTCTCTGTGCCGTTGGTAGCCTGAACGAAGTTGAATTAATTTGCTGTTGCACTTGCACGTTACTTTACAGCACATTGTCAGATGACATTAAACATTTAAAATTGACGTAAAAGTTTGCGCTTTACTTTAATTCTAAAATACTGCTTGGAACAATTAATAATTTAGTTTCAGCTTCTGGGACAACGAACCCCATTTCGATCAGGTTTTCGACCAGTTTCTCTGATCTTCTGAGCAAATATTGAAATAGCCCCTTGTTTTGCTTCAAGCCATTAATGTTCATAGGTTGGATAAAGAGTAATGAGAACGTTGCTGCTACTTAAAGCCGGTGAGTCGGCGTGCTACTATCTGTAGTGACGAGAGGAAGAATTGTTCGATGAGAGTGTGCAACGAGCGAGAACAGTACTCTTTCAGTCTGCAATCGTTGAATTTCTTAACAATTGTCCCAGCGCCCTAACATCAGGATTACAAAGGTAGAGCAACGTTCATGGCTCAAAAGTGAAGTGGCACGAGATCTGAGTAAGCAAGTATACTTTCAGAGACAGCGCGAAGCGTGTGGTGATACTCCACAGTCGCACGATGGGTTAAAGCGTTCAGATTACTCAAACACGATGTGAAGAAGAACCCCCGTTCTGGATGCCCCGTCGAGGAAAACGTTTCCGCCGCTGACAATGGGAGATTCTGGAACATCCACTTTACTACCCCGAATGAACCCCTGTGACTACGATATTTTCAGAAAAATGAAAATACTGCGACGAACCGGGTACAATACTAGAGAAAAAAATATTCATGTTATAAGGTGGTCAATGAGGAACATCAGAAATATTTGCAATTGCAATGAGATGGCGAGCTCGGAGGCGATAAACGGAAGTAGGGAAACAAAGTTTTAGCTAGAATTTCTTTTGTGATGCCATCGTAATACGAGTGAAACACGGAGATGGAGTTTTTACGTACAGATTTAATTACATTTACTACACAATATTTACACTCCTGTTGAAACCTATACCGCTGCACTCCAACCCCTGAGGCAAAAAGCCCCAGTCTGACCCAGAGGACCCCAACGGCTAATATAAGCGCCGCCCCCGGCCTCTCGTCCCGTGGCGAAAGCCAGACCTAACAAGCCGCGGCTTGCGATTATCCCCTCACAGTGCCTCCGCACAGCGATTCGACTGACACTCGCAAGTCGCCGGGAGTTTCCTCCGCTAGCCTAGATTAGCGAGGGATCACGTGACAGACCTCCCTCAGTTTTGACGCATGTCTCCGGAAGTTTCCTCTGCTAGCCTAGATTGGCGAGGAATCACGTGACAAATCTCCCTCTGTTTTGACGCGCTGGCCGCTCCATCTGACTACGATGTTTTGGAGCCAGATCAAGAGTAGGGCCCGCTGGCTATTTTCATGCCGTGGCTGTCATCGCACATCACCCCCCCCCCNNNCGGCGGCCCGCACCTTCCCATAGCGACAGAACCCTGGTTGCGCCGCCCGCCCGGCGCCAGTGGACCACTCCTCTCCCTTGCCGGCCGCACGAGCAAAATGCTATGACGCTACACTTGTATGCCCACAGCTCGAAATCCCGAGCTGCGAGCCCGGAAATGCGGCCGCCAGCTGTGAGGTGTCGCGCAGGGGACGGACGTCCCTCACCGGTGAGGGAAGTGGCTTCGGGAGGGAGCGCGGGGCGTTTGAAAGCCATGGAGCACACGGCAAAGAGTTAAAAAACAATATAATACCCGTGACTTCCCATGGCGACAGAACCCTGGTTGCGCCGCCCGCCCGGCGCCAGTGGACCACCCCTCCCCCTTGTCGGTCGCACGCCCTGTGCGGTCCGACAGAGCAAAATGTTATGACGTTGCACATTGCAGGAGAAAATCAACAAAATGAACAATTGCGGCCTAAAATTTGATACAAAATTGATGGAGACATTTTTTGCGTGAAATCGGAATTTTGACTAGTTTTCAACTGAATGAGACACGTCAGAGAAATGATACAATTTACACGTTTTTGTAAATTGGAGTATTGATTTACATCACTTATCATTTTGATTTGTCAAAAACAGTCATAATGGAACAGTCATTCTCGAAAGAAATGGCAAAATTGTTTTCCAGATTGCAAATATATTTCAATCAACACTGATTTCGGGTTGTAAAGTTTGTTTCACTTTTTCTACCCTTACTCTGATATGGCCAAATGGAGACTAGTCTTCCTATTTCCCTTCCAAACACAAGTGTGGTTTTGCCCCCCACCCCCACCCAGTGGTTGATCTTTTGTGTTTTCAACATGATCGTGAACTAAAAATATAATCTGGTGGGTGTGCTTCCATGAGCATTGAACTGCACTATGAACGTCTGAGTTAAACAAAAATACAATATTAAAATATACCTCAAGGAATTACATTTATATTTCAATGTAATGAATCCAAAAAGAAACTTGTAATAGAATCCGTTTATAGACCGTTTTTATCTGTTATGAGCTCCCTAAGTTCCAGTGTATACATTTTAAACATTATCTTTCAGCGTGTAAAAGAACCGCCTACGGTGGATAGAATATTAGTGCCTGAGGAATTTTCTTTCGTAATCGCTAGAATCAATCGAAACGACAAATGTTTTCACTCCTTGAACCGGACCGTTAGATTTGCCGCCAAGTAGCATTGTAAAGGCCACATAAGAAGGAATTCCTGTCCACGGAAATCCTCATCTGTGAGAGGTGAGAATCTGCTCCCACTTTCTTTAGGTACTGTGTTTAGAAATCGCTAACGCATTCCATCTCTGTCAAGAGCTTATTCATGTTGATATCTTGATCGAGTTCAGATGGCACGGAACAGTGTGAGTTAAGCAATATTCGACAAGGTGTACGATTCGTCATCTTCACAATTTCTATATATTCGTTTAGTTTTTTCACATGATTGTATTGATGTTGATCGTCTGGAGAGCTCCGTTTGAATGGACGAGGGCGTTTCAACATGCAGATATTTTTTTAAATTGAAAATTCGCATTGTGATTTCTCCCCA